ATTATCAAAATCGTGGCACGGTGGGGGCCGAGGGTTCATCCCCGCTGCCGCCAGTCCCTCTGGGGGCCCTTGGGAGCAGCGGGACAGGACTGGGGCTCCATGGATCCTCCTCCGGAGCACAGCTCCCGTGGGTGCTGCGCCGAGCGGCGCAGGGGCCGTGGGGACCTGCGTGGCCCAGGGGTGGCACCTTGGCCAGGGCACCTGCCCTGCCCTGTGAGACCTGTGGAGGAGCCCAGCCCGAGGGGACAGTGCCACCACACCCCGCTCCAGGGTGCCCTTCCCATGTCGCCGCTGTCCCCCAGCGCTGCTCTGCCCTCTCCCTGTCTGCTGGCACTACAGAAAAACAGAGTCGTCTTTTTTTGGAGCGTAATCTTCTGCCTGCGACAAGGAGCCACGCAAACTGATAAATTGCAGATTAAACGAGTGCCACACTCCACTCCAGCCCTGGCTGTTAATTCCCCTGTTGTGCAATTCCCGGCTCTCAGGGCCTGTCAATTCCAGCTAATCGCAGGAGGCACTAAAACACTCTGCCCTGACAGCCCCGGATCGAGGCACCCCTGACTCCCGGCTCAGGTGGATTGCACGCATCACTTATGCACAAATCAGCAATATGCCAGCCGGGAGGAATTATGTCCGATGACAGCCCAGACATGAGGTACATATTGCAGAGCCGCCGAGCCCCAGCCGCCGTGACAGATTGCGGTGCGGGGCTGCGCTGGTGCGGGAGCAGATCCGGCTGCAGCCACCGGCACCGCGCCTGTGTGCGCGGGATGGGGGGCCCCGCAGCCTGGCCCTGTCCCCATCCCTGTTCCCCTCCTTGTCCCATCCCTGTTCCTCTCCTTGTCCCATCCCTGTTCCCCTCCTTTCCCATCCCTGTTCCCCTCCTTGTCCCCATCCCTGTTCCCCTCCTTGTCCCATCCCTGCTCCCCTCCTTGTCCCATCCCTGTTCCCCTCCTTGTCCCATCCCTGTCCCCATCCCTGTTCCCCTCCTTGCCCCATCCCTGTTCCCCTCCTTGTCCCATCCCTGTTCCCCTCCTTGTCCCATCCCTGTCAGTGCCGTGCCCTGGGTGCCCAAAGCGGCGAAGGGAAAGGAGAAGAGGACGGGCCGAGGATTGGCACCGTGGGCACAGGGAGGGTCCCACCTGGGATGGGGCTGCCAAAACACCCTGCTAGGCCCAGCTGGGGTGGGGACCAGCCCCGCTCAGCACAGCCCGGCTCTGCTGTAACATTTAACTTGTCGTAGTCTGTGATCCTGAAAAGCTGAAATTAATGACAGCCTTGCAGTTGCTCATTAATAATTGCTTCATTACTGTACGCAGTTGCAGCCTCCTGACAATAATGGGGTTTGCTGGTGTATTTCTAATTATCTGGCATTTCAGCTCCCTAATAGAGTCCCGGTGCTCCCTGACGAGCCCTTGCTCTCCAGCAGGAGCAGCCCAGCCCGCTCAGCCCCGACGCCTGCAGCAGCCTGCCTGCTCCTGCATCTGCAGCTCCTGGGAAGGGCTGAACCGCCCTGGTGAGGCCCCACGCAGGACTCGGGGACACCGAGACCCTCCACGCCTGGGCTGAACTCTCCCACATCCCCGTGGCAGCCCTGGTGCTCGTGCTGAGGCCGGTTTGGGAGCAGCGACATCAGGAGAGGAGCTGGGAGCTCCAGTGCACTGAGCAGGTATGTGCCTGTGGCTGGCAGAGCTCAACGTGACCCTACCATGGCTGTCCCCATGGCCACACCACATCTGTCCTCAATGCTACACCAGAGCTGTCCCCAGTGCCACACCACAGCTGTCCCCAGTGTCACACCACAGCCGTCCCCATGGCCACACCATGGCCACCCCCATGGCCACACCATGGCCACCCCCGTGGCCTCAGCAGCCCTGGCACTGCGCCTTGGCCGTGTTCCAGCCTGGGTGAGCAGAGCCAAGAGGAGGTGCCAGAAGCCTGGGTGGGTGCTGGGGCTGGGCCGGAGCTGCGGGGCTGCGGTGCTGCAGGGCTGAAGGCTGTGGGGCTGCGGTGCTGCAGGGTTGCAGGGCTGCGGGGCTGAGGGGTTGCAAGCAGTGGAGCTGAGTGGAATTCCAGCCCCTGGCAGAAATCGGGCCGGCAGTGGTGGCAGTGGCGGTGGCAGGGGAATCGTGGCCGTGTCCCCACGCTCACAGCCTGGAAATGACCACTTGTGCCCCGTTCCAGCCCCGCCACCGGCTCCCGGCCTTAACAGCACACGCCGACCCCGCACTCCCACCTGGGGAGGGGGCTCATTTGTAGTTAAAAATCTATTGTGACTTGTCAGAAAAATGAATAAATGAGCACATTATTTTTTCATTTTGGAGCTCAGCATCTGTTTGTCTAATCAAGAAAGAGAACTGGGAAAGTCAACCAGGGCTGACGCACACATTTTATTTAACTTTTCCTCTGTCAAAGGAGTTTAAATGTGTAATGAACAGGCCATGGTGATTTGAAATATAATCCCATTACTCTGATGAGATTACCCAGGCTGTGAGAGTTCACAAATCATGCTTAGGGTTTTTAGAGTGAACAACACCCTGTTGAGATTTTTTTCTCTTTTTGCATTTAAGCAGAGGTGTGTGGGGAGAATAAAACATGACAGTGCTTAACCCTTCACGCAGTGGAGCAGCAGCACGGAGCCGTGCCCAGCTGTGCCCTCCCCGTGCCCCGGCTTTTTGGTGACCCCGAGGTGTCCCACGGTGATGGCAGCGATGCCAGGGAGCAGCACCTGGCCAGGGCACGCTCCTGCTGGCCCAGCTGGCTGTGTGCCACTGTGCCCACACGTCCCTGTCCTCGTCGCCGTCCTTGTCCCGGCGCTGCACAGGGGTGGCTGTGCTGGGATGTGATTTAAGGGGCATTAATTTCAGCTGCAGCAGCAGCACCCAGCCCCACCCGCCACCACAGCAGCGCATTTCCATGAATTCATGGGCCCATTACAAACATGTCTCCATAAATAACTCCCCCCATTAATCTCAGGGCTGTGCGATGGGTTTCGCTCGCTTGTCCCGGTGCCAGGTCTCAGCCCAGCCTGAGGGGCAGCTGCAGAACCCCTGGGACGCACCAGACTCCTGCCAGCCCAAAACAAAAGGTGCCTCTGGCTGGATTTGGTGCTCTGGGAGCTCTGGCAAACCCCTGCTGAGCCCAGGAGAGCATCAAGTGCTCTGGCCTTGGGTGCCAGCGTGTGCCAGGGTGCCCTGGGTGTCCCCTGCTCAAAGGTCACTCCCGTGCTCTCCTAAGCTCTGATGAAGCCGAGGAGATGGAGGGGAATTGTCCCTGTGGACAGGACTGCTCTGACAGCAGGAGTCAGGAGAATTGGGGGATCTCTGCTGCCTCCAGCAGCTGCCTGCGTGCGGCAGGCCGGAGCCGCGCTCTGCTCTGCTCTGCCCGGTGGCGGGGATGCAGGAACAGCTTGCCTTGCTGACCCAGTTGAATGCCCATCTGACTCAATTACATCTACAGCTACCGGGGAAAGACCAGCCCGTGCTGGCTCCGTGCTCAGCTGTGCACACAGTGCAGCCATCAGCGCTGATTTAACTCCTTCAGGAGCCCGAGCAGCAGAAACGCCTGGGCTGGGGAGGGATGCAGCTCCCGGAGTGCTGGACCTTTCCAGGATGTAAGGAAGGGCCATATATCAAACTGAATCTGATCTTTGGAAGCAAATTTGGCTTTTGACTGTCAGTGGCTCTTTTGGAGCAAATAAACCCACTTTGGGGTCCAAAGCCCCCCGCTCCTCACCCAGCCCTTGGAGCAGCCTCCAGGAGCAGCCTCTGCCTCTCCATCTCTGCCTGGCTCCCAGGACACCACACCAGGAGGGTGTGAACACTGCTGGTCTGGGCAAGGGATGGTGCCACAAATGTCACAGACAGCAGAGATGTCATTAGTTGAGTTTTTTAGTCTCTCCTGAGAGCAAACCTGCACATGCTGAATCCCTGCCGATAATAAATACACGTGAGGGGGTGGCAACAGAACTATGGCCATGGAAACAGGAGATTGCTGCAGTTTCTGGTACCAAATAGGCAATTTTTCAGTTCAGTTAAAAAGAATTGAAACTGGGTGGCCAAAGAACATTTACAGAGCAACTTTAATGTTAAATATTTCACAGAGTCGGTTAAAAGAGTCATTTACATCAAAGGGGCTTTTCCCATTGTATCTGTGCTGCATTTGCACATAGAAAATATTTTAAAAATTAATAGAATACTATAAAATAGCGTTTCTCTTGTTTTGCAGATATCATGGAAGACTGTCCAGGGAGGCCTGGCCTCGGAGCAGGGCTGGGCTGCTGAAACCCAGAACAAACACAACAGGTGAGACCCAGGCCCGCCCTTTGCCCAGGGGCTGCTCCCCACGCTGTGTTAAGGCTCAGGAAGTTTTCTCTGTACAAAAGCAAGGTGGGAGGCTGGCAGAGGGTGGGCAGTGCCCCAGGGAGCTGTTCTGGGACAGTGTGTGCAGAGCTCCAGTGACCTGGAGAGATGCAGGAAAGACACCTCTGGTGAATTCAACCAAAAATGCGGCTCTGGGTACCAGCATCCATTCCCGTGTTCCCTGATGGATAAAGGATGAACAAGGCTAAGATAGTTACAAATAGTACAAAGTAGGTCTTAATTTTTATTGTTAAAGAATAATATTGAGAGAAGGTGAAGGCATTTCTCAGTCCCCAGGGGCAAGGTGCCCCAGGGGATGTGCCAGCCCCAGGGTGGCAGCAGCTGAGGGTCCCCGGCAGGAGGACTCTCCTTCCCACCTACAAGACGTGGATTTCCAACCACCGTGCTGCTTCAGCAAGGAACTTCCAATAAAGCATTTGCAAAGCTGAAAAGCACAGTTAAATAAAAATATTTTTGAACAAAACAACCACAACAGACTCGACTGTCTCAGTGCTCCCTCGCTAAGCGCTCCCCTACCACGGCTGCTGTTCCTGGCTCACGGATGCCTCCTGCACTTCAGCAACAGAAGTGAAACCATCTGGGACTGCAGCCTCCCCCCAAAGAACTGTGCATCATATGGACCTTGAAAAAGATTACATCTGTTTATTAATAGCAAAAATGGATACATTTGTCCTACATTTTGTTTTTAGAAATTTGATCATGTCACAAGCAATACCTGCGTGTACGTGGGTGGATTACAGATGTATATAATTTATTTTAACCAGGCTGTGAAATAATATGTAATCACATCTCTTCTCGTGATTGTACATAATACAGTAATTAAATGATGCCAGTCTACGTCATTCTCTTATTTCTAATCAAAGGAACCTGAAGCGTAACAGTCTTCTTTCCGGCTGATATGGCTCTTTATTTCTGTCACAGGGGAGACCTCCGTCCCGAGGAGGGACGCTCTTCCAGCCGCAGAGACGGGCAGTTCAGACTCCGGGCCGGCCGCCGCGCCGCAGCGGTGCAGCAGTGCAGCAGCAGTGCAGCAGCGCAGCAGCAGTGCAGCAGCAGCAGCGCAGCAGCAGCGCAGCAGCCCCGGCCCCGGCGGGCGCAGTGGCCCCGGGCGCGGCTCGTGGGCTCTCCTCGAGGCTCGGCCTCACTGCTGGCCCGACTTCTTCTCCTTCTGGAAGCTAAAGCTTGTTCTCCTGCTCAGTTTCCTTTGTTTCTGAGCAAAATAATCTGCTCTGGCTGTGCTCGCTCGCGACTCTAGGATATAGTTAACCTGCAAGACACGAGGGGGTGTTAATGTCACCCGAGGTGGGGGACAGCCCGGGGTGGGCAGGGACCCCCAGCCCACCCCTCAGCAGGGCTCTGGTCTAACAGGTCCCAGCACAATGACGGCAGAGAGAGCCCAGAGTGCCAGCAGAGCCCTGGCCTGTCCTCCTGTGCCCCTGGTCCCATTTTGGGTCACCCAAACCTCTGGGGAAGGCAGCGAGCCGTGCAGACCCCCCAGTGCTGGGACAATCCAGTAATGAGCATCAATAAAGGACCTTATCAGCCTCAGTAAAAAGAATTCTTCCATTATGATGTTTGCATACTCAGCTAATCTCAGAGTTTCCCTGTGTTTTGGCACATTTTACTTGATGAAAGCATTTTAAAATGATATTTAACAAGCCTGCTACTCCCTAAATTTATTATCTCCAATGCTTTGTGATAATCTCAGAGATAATTTTAATGGAAGGTTAATGCAAGAATCAAAAAGATAAAAATGCCCTTTGGTCTGTCATTAGCTGGCTAATATGCTGTGGCTTAAAACTTGCACAATTTTATGCACTGTAGAGTGTTTCACTTTCATTGCATATTACAGCTTAAGGCATAAAAATATAGGGAATTTTCATGGTCAATAAAGTCTCAGTCCTTCTCACTTGATCATCTGAAAAGCCTAATTTGAAAAGTCTGATTTTTCTGCGCTCTCTAATGCTGATGGAATTGAAAACAAACCAGTGACTTGTGCATGAAACTAGATAATGTTCTATATAAACAGACCGCAACTTGGGAAAAAAAGTACTGCTCAATATTATTCCTCTCCTGAATATTCATGTTATTGACAGTAAACCTTTTTTTAGCCTTTGTTTATGACCAGTCTCAGATGTGTGGAGTCACCAGCCCTGGAAGTGCTCAAAACCTGAGGAGATGTGGCATGGGGGTACTTGGGTAAAAGTTGGACTTGATGATCTTGGAGGTCTTCTCCAGCCTTAATGACTCTGTGATTCCCTGATTCCGAGTGTTTGGGACTGCAATAGCTGATCTAAGATAAAGTGGGAACAGAAGAATTGGCCTAACAGCTCACAAATCAGAAACCCCTCAAACACACTGACCTCCTGCGTGATGAGTAAAAGTTACTTTATCGCACATCAGTTGTTTAACAATCCTCTAAACTCCACACAGCCAATAAAAGCAAACATAACAGATGGTTCGCCAGAATTGCTGCTTTTGAATTTTGACTTGCTACAAAAGATGAACTTGTGGAAAATTCCATTTAATTTTTCAAGAGTGTAACAAAAATTTGTTTCCCAAAGCAAGGGAGTTTGTGTCAGTACAGAGCCCCAGGGAAAGCCAACAGTCCTGAGAAGGGTCGGGGGGAGAAGCCCCTGTGTGCTGTGCAGGGACACCTGAGTGGGAGGTGTGAGGGGCAGGAGCACCCAACCCTGCAGGCACAGGGCTGCTGACCACGTGTCCAGAGGTGGAAACTACCCAGACACAATAAAATTTGGCAGTTTCCCATAAAATTCCACAGAAAATGGTGTCTCTATTAAAAAAGCACAAAAGGAAATGCCACACACAGACAGGCAGTGGCTGTGTGGCTGTTGGAAGGATGAATAAAACAACAGGCATGGAGCTGCCATCCCGGTAGGTTAAACACACCCCAGTGGTCCTCAGGCACTGCACCCTTGTGTGTTTCCAGAGCCCCTGAACACTCACATGTCTAACAAGTGGTAAAACACCAGGATTTTGGGTCACATTAAAATTTAATACTCACCTTCAGTACAATTTCATTGACAGTAGCAGCATCTGATTCGAAGTAAAGGTGTTTGTAGTCATGATTGCTTAGATATGTAAGTTTAAATATTGCATGACCTGCAAAGATAAGAAAAAAACTGCTTAGAATATTCCTGTAAAGTTTGAGCAGAGCTCGTTGCCTGACAGAAGAAAACCACAGATGGTGATCTCAGCGTACCATCAGCACGACAGAAGGAAGCAATGAAATGCTGACAGGCTTCTCATGTCATTTCAATTTAAGGCAAGTGGTGGCTTGCAGGAGCAGCTGAACTCCAGTCAATAAAGTTCCTTTTCCCATCACATCCCCACTGCAGGAAATGCAAAAATCCATCAAAAGGCTGGTTAGCTCTGCTCGGCCACACGGCGCTGCAGAGCCGGGGCGCGCCTGGGACCGCTCACGGGCGGCCACCGCCCGCAGGAGGAGGTTTGTACCCAACAGAAAATGGCAATGAACCCCAGAGCCACGCTCCAAACCCCCCTCCCAAAACCGCTGCTGGTGGCCACGGGGAGCGGCACCGAGGGACGCGGCCGCGCCGCCACCGAACCCGCTCGGGGCTGGGATCGCCTGCCCACACCAAGGAAACTCAAATTAAACTCCAACTGTGACCTGCTGGCCCCTTCCTGCTGCTCGGGCCTCTGTCCCAAATGGGGGTTTCGGGTGCTGGCCGTGTGGCACACGGTGCTGGCCCGGGGCTGCCCTGGGACAGCGGCCCCGAGGAACGACTTACACACAAAGGGCTAACGTGGAACACGAAGGAAGGCAAAATATCCTTCACTTGTATGGATGCTGATGGCTTCAAAATTAAAATTAAATGTATTCTATACATGATACTTTTCCAACGGTTTTCTAATTTATTCAGTTCAACAGTCAAAGTTAGCAATCCATAAAGTAACAGCCGCATTACTGTAAATCCAGGTCTTTCCTGCAGGAAAGCTAATTGGAAATCTTATTTACATTATCTAATTCTCCAGATTTCCAAAAAGTGACTGATATATGCTCAGATTGGTGGCCAGAAAATTTCAGATGCAAGTATTTTATTGTGGCATGTTAATTAAACACCATTATGATGCACTAATCTGGAATATAAATTCTGTATTGAAAAATTGGCTAATAATAATAATAAAAACCCAACCCTTTAAATCATTTGACAAATGATGCCTCAGTGGTACTAAAAATGCGGAATTCCAAGCTGGGAGCTCATCAGCATGTTAATGCATGCAGCTTTGCCTGGAACACAGCATCTTAATGATTCCAAAAGTGCCAGTGCACCACTCCTGGGGATGGGACACAGCACCGTGCTCCACCAGCTCCCACCATTTTCCTTGGACATTGAACATTCCACGGTTATCAGAAATGAAACTGGTACAAAACAGGGTCAGAAGATCCCAACGAGTTGCTGCATTTCGGGTTTTGGAAAATCACTGGGTAATTCTTGCTGTGGATCAAGACAAAACCTCTTCAGGTGCTCCCGGGAGCCCGGCCCTGCCTCGTGCCGCGGTGCCACCACGTGTCCCCAGGGCACTGCCCTGCCCAGGGCAGCGTTCCTGCTCCCACGGGCACTGCCTGCCCAGCAGGGCACTGGCCAAGCCTGGCTCCTGCAGGGCTCCCGGGCCACGGCACCGATGGCAAACCCGGGGCCGTGCAGAGCCCACATCCTGCTGGCACTGGTGACTCCGTGGAAAGAAGCCAAGAAGACTTTTCCTTAGAAAGCCCCATTACAGCATCATGTTTATGGGCTCCAAGTCCACAACACACTACTTACAGCATGAAATATGAGTGCACTGAAATCCTAACTGGCACTTTGCTCTGCTACTCTTCTAGCCAGATGGAATTTATGAATTGTGAGATTGATTTCCATTTCCAAGAGTGCTTAAATATGTGATGTACCTCTTTCCAATAGAGCACCACCCCTGACAATTCTGAGATCAATAGGAGCCTCCATGGTGTGATGTTTCCGTGTGAGAGGATGGTAACAAACAGCAGCAGCTCGAGTGGCTCCTGCTGCACGTGATGGGGGATTTAAAGCAAATGCAGATGCTGCACAAGCAGCTGCTGCCATCACTCCACACCAACAGGGGCTGGGTGTTTGCAGGAACCTCAGTGCCCCGCAATCAGGATTAATCAGCTGCACAACAACAGAAAATCCACGTTATTCCTGACCACGTTTGTCTGTTGAGCAGTTATGGAAAGCAAATGGAATGACAGAAGCTCAGCAGCTTTTGCCACGGGGTAGGCACAGCCCACGGTGAGCTCGGCACAGCCAGGGGGTCTCGTGGCCATGCCCCTGGTGCCCCCTGAGCCCCCAGCCATGCCAGGGCCCCGCAGCACAGCAGCACCTCCCCACTGCTGCCCTTGGCCCCGGCTCGGAGTGCTGATAACTCTCCCCAGCCCCACCACTAATGGGCTCCTGTGTGGTTACTCCTGGAGAGGAGCCTACAGCCCAGGGAAGGGCAGGATGCTAATTCACTGGGAATTCACCAAGGAGAGCTCATTTACTCCTTCAGCACCACGTCTCACGTTCAGCTGCTCTCCCCATCTCCTGATTTTTAGCACCACTGCACTGCCAACGAGGCGAGGGAAGAGGCCCTGCGGCGCTGCACTCCCGCTCTCCTGGAGCTCCTGTGCAGCCTCCAGCTCCTCCACATCCCCACACAGCCCTGAGAAACCTGTGCAATTACAGCTCCACAACTATCGGCCATAATGTGCTTCTACAGGCAACAGTAAATCTGCTGCTAATTCCTGCAACCTTGGCAAGATATCTAAACCCTTGGTGGGCCCCACACTGCACCTGACACAGGTAGAAAAATAATCACACTAATCTAAATAATCAACTCTTTTAATCAAAGTCCAAAAGATACATTTTTTTGCTTGGAAAACAAGGCTATGAATTTGCACAAGAAAAGATAAATTTTTACTGACTCTGCCAAGACTAGAAAGTTTTTCTTATTTCCCTCCCACCCCACAATTCAGCCCTCACCCAAACCCTCTCCTTGCCAACTCTTTAAACAGAACAGAATTAAATCCCTAATTAGATGGAGGATGAAAAGAATATTCATGAATTGGACAAAGCAGAAAACAAACAAACACTAGAAATGCAAATTTATGTTAATTTTTCAATATACCTTGATGATTGCTTTGTCATTACAGGGCCATAAGGCAGAAGTCAACAATTAAGAGTTATTAGTGGAATAAATAGCTGGAGAAGGACTCTCTGAAGAACAAAGCACTTATGGACATCATTTGACATCACCGATTCTCACTGCTTCAGAAACTGAGACCTCAACAGGCTCAAACCTTGAAATCTCTTCTCATGGGCCCAGAAAGGATGCAAAAGGGTTAGGAATATACCAGTAAAAGGCAAGGAATGAGGATAGCAAATTTCACATCAGCAATACTTTTGTACAAAGATATATTTCCCCCAAACCTGCACGAGATGGGGGAGCCTCTGCTCTGCAACCACTGCTGTGTTTCACCCAAAGCACTGGGGAGGGGCTCGGCTGTCTGAAATCCACGTGTGATACCCCAGAAATGATGCTGTGACCCTCGAGGAAGGCCTGAAGGGCCCACAAAGCTGCAAGAGTTGTGTTAGGGTTAAAAAACATCCAACACCCTACCTGACACCCTGTGGTAACAAAACACACTTCACAGGGGAGGTCACAAGTTGCAGCACGGCTGCAGTTGGAGCTCAGCTAGGGACAGACAGAACAGGGATGTGGACCTGCGTGTACAGGTGGGGCTAATCCCATTTCATGCAAGGGATATTTGTCCCAGAGGCACATAAGTTAGAGGCAGTGAGGGCAGGCAGCTCTGATGCCAGCGGAGTCACTGGTGGGTTCATGGTGGGCAGCCCGAGCCCAGGGGTGGATCTCCTCAAACCAGGGCAGTACTTAAGTGGGAACAAATGATAAGACTGTTAAGGAAAAAAATAGCAGCTATGGTCCAGCTGGCTTGCCCCATTCTCTCAGGCAGCAGCATATTCCATGATCTCTTTTCCTCCAACCCTTTATGTTCCACTGTAGGCTTGGTGCTCAGCATTGCTAGTAGAGGGTGCCATGTGTCCAGATGTCCTGAAAACAGAGCTGCAATTAAAGTGCAGCACACACCCACTTTTGTGTCAAACTGTGGCAACTACTCACACATCTGCATTCTTTTCTCCCAAAGCCTTTTGCTTCTTCTTTAAATTATTATCAGAGGCAGAATACTAATGAAGATTTTTGCAAAAATGCTGAAAATTGAGGTGCAACTTGGGGTTGCCCAAAACCTCTTTACCAGCAACCTTGTTTGGGGAAAAAAGATAAATAAATCAAAATGCAGTGTTTCCACATGGCAATCGGCTCCTCCACTGCGTCTGCACCTCATCAATCACGCATTGTCTGCCGGAGAGGCGAGCCTTGTAAATGCCACATCCACTCAGGCCCGAGGAGAGGCGAATCAAAATGCAGCGAGGAGTTTTAATTGGATAGTGTAATTAAACTAAAAAACCCCAGCAGAATAGCTTTGACAGGATAGATGAAGACCCCTTTTAATAGGGCTACAAAACAGATTTGTTAAAAGGATGAGGCAATGCGCGCTCCTGATTGCGCTCAGGAGAACTTTTACGAGCGGCTGGCGGAGGGGCCGCGGTTAATCAGCACCGAGCGCTCCAGTGCCCGGCTGCTGCTGGTCCTGCCAGGGCAGGGCAGCCCCGCTGCCAGCCCTTCTCTGCAGGGACAGTCCTGCCGAGCTGCCCGGAGCCATCTGTGCCCGCTGCCGTGCCGCACCCTGCCTGCACGGCGCGCCCGGCCTCTTCCTCCTGCTCCACACTTGGGTGCTCCCCTCACTGCAAGCCTGAAGTCTGGGAACGTTCTCTCTGCTGAACCTGGTTTCTGCCTTTTGGCCAGAACCTGTGACTAGTCTCCCGTTGAGCAGGAATTTTACTGTGTTATTTCTTGCTCCGCTGTGGGAGCGGGGATATCAGGATCCAGCACTCGATATTTTGTGCACCAATTGCAGAGCACACACTGCCTCTGCTCTGGCCCCACTGCAGGCTCTGAGCAAACCTGCAACAGCTCTGTTTGAGCTCCCAGAGCAGCAGGAACCCAACGCCTTCCCAACATTTCCCGGGTATTTTCAGCCCTTCCACATCCCAACAACGAATTCATTAAATTAGGATTACCCAATGTGCATAATCGGGATGAACTGGACGCTGAACTAAAACATCAAATACCTTTAGCTTTAAATGAAAACTACATAAAGGGGGTTCAGGCATTGCTCTGGCTATCACTTGCACCCAGGGTGAATACTGCTGGAAAAGCTATTTTCGTGCAGATGTGGAATTCAATGGGAAAGACTGACTCGTGTAGCAACATCAATCAAAACGTCGGCTGGGCTGGCAGCTCTCGACAGTAAGGCAGGTTCAAAGGTCACGGGATAAAGAAAAAGCCAAGCTCTGGTTCAGCTCTAATATCTCCTCGCTGGAAGTCTTACTGAGGTACCTGCCCCCCTTCTGCACTCGCGGCTTTCATTAATCTTCTTGCCATCTTTTTTAACTAGTCATGCAGAACCGCTCGATAGCGAGACATATAATGGGGAGGCCCTGTGCCTATTACCAGGTTAACACTCTGTTAAGCCCCAGTGCAACAATGGAATCAGAATTTAAAGGAAATCTTCAGCTGCAGGGTGCAAAGCGGGCAATTAAATTACAAACTGAAGTTACCCATGTACTCCATGACCTACGGAACACCTTTGCTTAGACTTACCTTCCTACCGAGGGTATTTTGACAAAACAACTGAGATGTCTCTGCTTCATGAAAACAAAAAAAAAAGGCAGATAAAGGATCACAGAGAATGTTCCTTCAGTGTTTCAAGTAAATTGTCAAACAAATCCAATTTCTGCAGCTCGTGTAAAGCACAGCTGATCAGGTGTGGTGGCACAAGGGCTCTGCACTCCCTGCCCAGCTCGGCCATGCCCGGCAGCCCTGGACATCCATCACAGCCACTCGGGCACAGAGCACTGCACACGGCAGTGGGCAGTGACACTGAAGTTTCTCCCCCGTCCAAGTAATGTAAGAGACATTACCAGAATCAGATTTCCTTTAAATTACACTATTGCAAAGGGATATAATTATATTAAATGTATTATGTTGCTTCCTTAAGACTTTATATTATGTACACTTAATTGAGATACAAAGCTCTTTTCAGCTATAAAAATGACAACTACTTTATTAAGGCTTAAATCTTATTTGTCCATGATAGGATGCTTCCTTTCAAGACTCAAAACATTCAGAATCTCTCGTGATAATCAGGCTGAACCTGATTTAAAGAAGATGTTCGTGCCCGGTGTTGTCAGGTTCTAATGGCATCGAAGCAAGCCAGCAGGGCCATTAACTCTCCCCTCAGTCTAAATCCAGGGAGTCTGATTTAATTTACAAATAAAACTTCAAATTCTGACCCAGGGCTACTACAAGGGCAAACAAAAATCATCAGCCATCCCTGCCCACAGTCCCCCCACTAATGGCAAATGAGATGCCAGAGCTTTCAGTTTTCATTTTCTGCCCTCACTGAAGGCAGCTCTGAGCTCTGTGAACTCTCAGCACAGGAAAACTCAGCCTGTCCAAAACAGCTCTGAGCAGTCCATCAATGTTCCCACCACAACAGCTCTGAAGCTGCTGAGCCCTTTCACACACTCAGGTGCCACCAACGCTTCTCTGCAGGCCCCAGTGCAGAGGGGAGCAAAGAACACCTGCACGAGATCTCACTGCAGCCCCACGCTGCTCCAGCACTCAGCCTCCATTCCCAACCCCCCTCGCCCTCACTAAAAAGTAGGGGGCTGCTCCAAACCCTTCACCTCTTCAGAGCCACCAGGACAGAGCCCAGCCCAGCAGAGCCCAGCCCAGCAGAGCCCGGCAGAGCCCAGCCCAGCAGAGCCCAGCCCAGCCCAGCCCAGCCCAGCAGAGCCCGGCCCAGCAGAGCCCAGTCCAGCCCAGCCCAGCCCAGCCCAGCCCAGCCCAGCCCAGCAGAGCCCAGCCCAGCAGAGCCCAGCCCAGCTGGTTCTGACCCCTCTGAGGTGCCTGGGGAGGGAAGGCAGCCCCAAACCCAGAGCCCAACACAACGGGACAAGCACGAGCACTTCTGAAAGAGGAGATGGAGCAGGTTTGTGTTACAAGAGATAAAAACATGAAAACAAAATATATTGCAGAACTCAAAGACCTTATCTGTACTCAGCCTCTCTTTGCAATAATTCATTCAAGAAAGATCCGGGAATAATTTTTGATGTAAACTCTGCTACAAACATACATCACCATGCTGATAAAAATCACAGACAAAACTTGTGAAATACAGTGAGTTTCATTCCTTTATGCTACTAAAATAACTTTTTTCCATTTAAAATTCAAAAGATACTGATCTGCTGTTCAGTTCCCCAAAATGCATCATTCTGAGATGTCACACTAAAAGTCTTTTCTGCTGGCCTAAAATAATGACTTTTGGAACATCTTTAGTGAGTTGGGAAAAGGTCAGCAGTTTCAGCGGGAAGTATTTTCTCCTTTTGGAACTGTGCTGAACCATTATTTAGTAGGAGAAGTTTAAGATTTTCACACAAAAATGAGAAAATAAGCCCCTCAGTACTGCCATGGTTGCCTTGGTTGCAACCTGTCAGTGTCCTCTCCAAAGTCCCTGTGATTCTTCACTCAATGGTTCTCACATGCAGGAACTGCCCTCCTGCCCCTGGGCTCTGTTTGGGATTGAAACTCCTGGGTTGGCAGGATTTGGGTACAAACATAATTCCCCACAGCAGCAGGTGCTGCCTCTGGGGCTGGAGAGCCCCATCCTGGCAGGACGAGGTCCTGGCAGGATCCCCCCTCCTGCCCCATCCTGGCAGGACGAGGTCCTGGCAGGATTTACCAGCACAAACTGGCCCTTCCTTGCACTGCACACAAAATCCTCACGTGTTTCAGACTGCCAGGTCATTGGGGAAGCTTCTCCTTGGGATTGTGCCTACCCAAGGACCATGAAATCTTGATGGAGAGACAGAAAAGGAAGACAATGACTAAACCAAGAACATGGAGTAGGAAGGGGTAATGAAGGGGAGAAGGATATAGTTCAATAATTGCTGATAAAATCTGTGGCAGCCATAAATTTACTCTTCCAAGAGAATTCAACAGATCATTACCTCTGTAAATATGTATCACATAATTCTCCCTCTCTGTCACCTTGCAGATAAGTACTTAATACCAGCATCTCACTACCCTGCAGAGGCTCAAGTGCAATAAAATCCATCTGAGCTTTTGAACTGCAGTCACTTTTTGAAAGTAGACAGTTCCATTTTGGCCCCACTGGGAGCCATTGCCCAATTCTCCCAGGGCCCATCCTGTGCTTTTTAAAACAACTTTCCCAGATAGAGACCCTCATTCCTCTACTGACACAACAAGCAGAAGCCCTTGCTTTTGGAGTTGCACTACACAGAGCCAGCTCTGAACTCTGGGCAATGACTGAGCTGGGATGTCCAGCCTGTCCCCAGACCTGCTGTCCCTGCTGTACTGGCCCAGTCACCAGCACAGAATGTCCAGAGTGGCACCTTCAATCCCAGGGACCCTGCAGCCATGGCTGGGGCAAATCCAGACTGAGCTGACACCTACTCTATGTCCCAGATCTTCAGTTGCACCAAAGACATTTAAAACCAGCCTGGAAGTTAAAAAGTGACAAAAAATTGCAATTATGTTGAAACATGGATTCACTGGCTGCACTGCAGGGCTGGAGACAGCTGGGCAGAGCCAGTGTTCCCTCGGTGTCACAGTGGGCAAGAAACACTGAGTGATGCCATTAGCTGAGAGCAGCATCAAAGGACACTCGTAAAATGTGTGTCTGTTTATGCTGTGTTCTCTGTAACAGAACTGAGTCAGATTAAAAACATCCTGTAATGAAAAAAACACACATATAGAAAGAAAAGGACATGGTAGCAATAATTCTTTGGACATGGAGCACATCCAGGGAGGCAGAGAAGAGAGAACATAAATAAAAAGGACTACTCACTTGGGCTTTTTTCTTCCGCAAGGTCACAGGCACAGAGGAGTTCAGAATCGATTGAAATGGGTTTCTGCTTAATCCAAAACTTAGTGCTGGCCTTCTGATTAGTAACAGGGTCTATCTCTACCTTGTCTCCAGAAATACCTGAGATGAGAAAGAATAGAGAGCCACAAGAGTGATCTGTTTAACCGATTTCATATCAGCCGTTTGACACACTTTATAAATCTTAAATGGGCTGAAGGTATATTGCCCTTCTGGGCTTTCTGAAAGCAGGGGAGCTTTTGAAACCAGAAGCAAATGGTTATCAAACTGCACTGATAATCTGCATTTTATTCTCCTGCATATGCATACCAAAAGAAAAGAAATATCACAGAAAAGATTCTTCTAAAAGCATACAGAGCTCTCCCGGAAGCAGTAGCTACATGAGCAGTGAGATTTATAGGAGATAGTGCTGGTTTTGCAGTCACCACTGCTCTGTGTAACAGACACTATCTCCACCCACCCCGCTCCATCTGCTGCACGGCAGACATGCAATCACAGAACAACAGAACCAGAGGTGCAGAACGTGCTGAGTTGGAAGGGACCATCAGGATCACTGAGCCCGAAGCTGGCCCTGCACAGGGCACCGCAACAACCCCAGCTGGGCCTGAGAGCACAGTCCAAACGCCTCTGTGACCCGGGCAGGGCTGATGCGGGGAAGCCTGTTCCAGAGCCCAGCCCTGCTCTGGGTGAAAATCCTCTTCCTGATAGCCAACCTACATGTGATATCCATACCTACATGTGATATCCATACCTACATGTGATATCCAACCTAAATGTGCCCTGACTCAGCTTCAGCCGCCTCCTTGGGTCTGCTCACGAGGGCAGAGATTGGCCCCTGCCCCTCTGCTTCCCCCCCGTGAGGATCTAAAGCTCAGAGCAGGTCTGACCTCAGCCAAAGCACCCTCACCTGCTCCTCATGAGACTTCCCCTCCAGGCCCTTCCCCACCCTCCTGGCCTCCTCTGGGCGCTCTCTAATGGCTTCATGTCCTTGTCACATTGTGGTGCCCAGAACTGCACACAATAACCAAGGTGGGGCCACACCAGCGCAGAGGGCAAGGAGGATCCTGCTGGAACCAGTTCAGGAACTGAACAGAGCTGAGCAAACTTCCCAGGCAGCTTTTCACATCTAGGTGTGCAGAGCCTTAAAAACAATGATGTGTCTTCAGGCATGAGTTACAGGGTGAAGCTCGTGAGACATCAACAAAAGGAAGCAAATAGGGAAAAAAAACTATTTAAATATCATTTAACTCCTGCATCTCTGGAAAAAAAAGCAGAAAACTTTCTCCCTCCTGAGGGTTCTGACGAGGCAGGAGCCCCTGGCCTGAGACCAGGCCAGCCTTGCCCACCCTGTGGGTTATGGGAGCACCCCACTAACCCAACAATGCATTAAAAACACCTCACATCAGAGAGATCACATTGCAATTAAACAATGTATCAAGAGTCCAATTAACACCCAGGCTTCTGGAACTCACTAATTTGAGTAGGCTGAGCCTGTATCTGGAGCCCATTTTGGTTTGTGATTTAATTTTGGACAGATTATGTAAAATCAGTGTTGGTGTTTCACTGTAATGGTTCATTATTCCAAATGGTATTTGCTGGAGTTTAAGGAAAATATGGAAGTTGATGATACAAAGTCTCATTTTCTCACAAAAAAAAAAAAGTCAGGGGAAGTTCTAAAAATAAAGGTGCAAATTCTTGGTGTGTGAGGGCTGTTCCCCATCCCTTCCTCTAAGAGCATCACCCCTATAAATATCCTCCAAAAATGTCACTGTTTGGTCCTGCAACTTCAGAATTCACAGTCAGTCAATACTGTTAATGCACCTTGTTAATTTGATAGGATTTGTCAGGTAACTCCACTGGAAAATTATATAAAACTGTTCCAGATGAACAGATGATAGTGACATGAATTAAAGTGATAGAACAATAGTGGAATATAAACCAGAAATGACACCCAAAGTGGCTGTTGATTTATTGCCATCCTGAGTTTGGTTCTGGGCTTCCATGTATATTAGTGCTACAAATCTGGGTCCATTTAGCAGCGAGATGCTCATACATACATCACCAGCTCCTGCTCCAAGCCAAGGTCACTCCCCATTGCATCAATCTTCTCAGCAGAGGCTACTTCACCATTTTGTAACCATCTCAGATGGAACAGACTTCCTCCTCTTTCATCTTTTTTTTATCATGTAAAATACACTTTAACTTCTATTATTTTTATCTGCAAATTGTTGCTGTATACTTCATCCATTATTTCTGTATCTCGACATCGCTGGCTGAAGCTCACCCACATCCAGAGAGTACATTGACAAAGAATGTTGTCTTTTTTGTGTTATTGTTCTCACAATCTGGATGTGTTGAAACCTGAAATCAAAACAGTATTGTGTCTGTGGCTTCTGCAGTCTCTGTCTTGCAGCACAAATCACTCATACTAAAGACCCAAGTAAAAATGTTCCTTCTCCTATTTTTTAAATTCATTCATTTTGTCAAAAGACATGCCATCAATGTATGTGTCCAGTAGCAGTGTTGTGTTCTTGCTCCCTTTGCTGGGGCCTGCAATTGCCCCCTCCCCTTTCTGAAATACTGGCCAGCAGTTGTTTTCCCAGACAATAAGCTCCTGTTAGCTGTGCTAATGTAATACACAAGTGAATGTGTCTTATTCCTCCACAACACGATAGAGCCTTTGTAAAACTGCTGAGAGTGCTGCTGTGTGTGCATTACCCTGGGATATGGGCTGAAACACAAACCCCAGACCTGAAACTGCCACCTTAAATGCAATAACCCCATCACTCAGAGCTGGGCACTCCTCCCGTGGCCATCGACATATCACCTTTTACTACAGATAGTACTGTACATACTGCACAATGTACAGAAAATCAAATTTACTCCCATGTTTTTCATAAACCTTGTCTCAAATTCAATGATCAGGCCTTAAAACAGCTAAAACATTTCAAAAAGTGCAATCCACTCCTGCACAGCCACTGACACCATTGATCTGCCAACAAGGAGCAAGGGCATGACAGAGGATTTTTGGGGTCCTCGAGAAAGACGTGCCCTGCTAAGGCTGCTGCCCAGAACTGATGGCACAAAAAAGCTGCAAAGAAAAGTCTTTGCAACTGGCCACCACCAAACTGCTGGAGAACAGCCCCCAGACCAGTCACCACGACTGAAGACAAAAAATTAGCCTCTGTTTTTTCCATTTCAGGGAGGAAGAAGCAGTCTGTCACTCACATAAACATGTAACACTCATCAGGCCAAACCCAAACAGCCCCTCAGTCCTTGTTTTGCCAATCTTGATCTTCTAATATCTTTTAAAAATTCAGGAGGAAGCCCAGTAACTTACTCAGACTTTATAGAATGATTTTGGTGTTCTACATTTGCCCAAGGTTTGAACACCCTGCTGGGGTTTTCTTTGATTAAAAAAAAAAATAGATTATAAAACCCTATTGTCAGTGCACTGCCATCAAAATCACACAAGTTCATAGATTGTTAGAAAAGGGAAATTTTATGGTCCTTACAGCACTGGGCAGGGTCAGCTCCTCCACTGCTGCACAAGTTAAGCCATTTGTTTCATTTAACAGCTCTTCTCCCTTAACCATTTATCTTTAGTGATCTGTCATGACCTTTTCAAGCTCTCATTTCTGACACTTCCCAGATACAGTGAGTCAAACTTCACTGGAAGCAAACTATCACACCCCGAGAGTTTGCTCAAGGCAGCGAACGTGCCCAGCATTGCCCTGCTCCAGCACCAGCAGATAAATCCTGCCTCAACTAGACAGCTCAAAATAAACCCAAAAAGCCTCTTCTGTGAGAATTTTACACACAAGTACTCTCCCATCTGCTTCAGGATGGAAGAATGAAGAGAATGTAGTGACAATAATACAGGAGTCGGTATCGTTTAACAATTCCGAATTCTACAGAATAAATGTATTTTGTAAACATTACGGCACTTAATATCTTACTGCTGAATCATTTCTTTATGGAAGTATTTGCAGGAATGTCACAGGTCACCTACCAATGCATCATTAATCAAATTTTCACAATTTAAACACAAAGATAAAAAGCCATTCAATCATTTTAAAACAGTAATGGGGCTTTTATAATACAGGATTCTGTCAGCCCTTGGCCTTCAGGTTTTCAAAAGCATTCAGCAAGCCAATAAGGACAATATAAAACCTTTAGAGAATGCTCATTTATTTTGTTCCACCTCAAATTTCCACTAGGTCGTTAAAAATCTTTCAGTCTCAGAAAAGGAAAAACCCAATAACTCCCAATTTTGCAAAGCCTCATTTAAAAATAACAAAACAGTTGGCAAGAAGCTTTCCATTAGGAAGCCTAGACTGGAAAAAAGAGACGAGGTCATTAAATAATGGCCTTCGTTCAGAGGCAACATGTGCAACTGATTGGGGATAATAAAAATACTGAAGCATTTTCAAGGGAAAGCAATATTTTTAACTGCTGAAATGCCAGCAACACTTTCACATGCTCCCTGAGAAAATGGCCCAAGGTGATAATGATTGCTGCAGAGCGGCAGGGGCGGCTCTGGCCGTGCATTACCTAACTGCACGTCCGTGGTGAACCGCAGCCGGTGGATCATGCTGACTTTGAAGGACTTGTAGTGGTGGCTGCTGAGCATGTCCTGCACCGTGGCAATGTCGATCTGGGGATCCTCCTCCGAGACCTCTTCTCCTCTGGAGCCTGCAAGACAAGGTCAGGGTCCTGAAGGGAGGTTTGGCTCGGGGCGTGCACCACGGGGGCTGCCTGGGGACTCTGAGTGCTCAGTCCCTGCCTTGGCACAAGGAAATGCCACCCTCCACCCAGGCCAGCCAGCAGGGCACCGGGGCCACGCTGACAGACACCTCTGGCCACACCATGCGGGTGGCACGGGCAGCCCTGACCAGGGGGAGGAGAGGGGACCCTGCTGGCCACCCACCCCTGCCACCCAGGAAGGAGCCCAGAGCTGCCCAGAAATCCCCCCAGAGCTGTCTGTCCCCAGAGCTGTCTGTCCCCAGAGCTGTCTGTCTGTCCCCAGAGCTGTCTGTCCCCAGAGCTGCCCCCTCGATGCCAGCACAGACCTCCCACGTCCCTCGGGCACGCTGATGTGAAGCTGCACTTCATTTACTGATTAGTATTCTCATTACCACTGCAGGTACTGCCTTTATAAAAGGCAACAACTCATTAAGCCAAAATGCCAATTACTGAAAAAATATAACACGCTTTAAAGATTTTTTACATTTTATGACGTTGGATTAACACCAATTTCAACATTACTATAATGCAGTATATAATTGCACAGAGTAATTTCGATGCCAGCTGCTAATAAAGCACCTCAGCTCGAAATGATCATTCAGATGCTGGTAGATAAAGTGGCATAAATATGTTTGAAAACTGATTTAGCTTCTTACAGGAGATCCTGAGAAATGACACGTTTTGTTTAATATCCTGGCTAATGTAGTCCTAAAAGCTGAACGAACTGCCAGTTCAGAGAACTAAATTTGCTGCAAGAGATTAATGAAAACTTTATATTTTGCTGAAATTTTAATAATGGGAAGATGAGATGACGGAGTTTTAGTACAGATCTTAAAGCTCCAGCAAAGCAGGTACCAACTTGTCAGATTTTTCAGTATTAATTTTGCTTGAGACTTGTACTGTTGGAGCATCCTCAGCACTACACCACTGTGAGCATCTGCTGTTAAATGAGTCCAAAACCACACGGGGAGCATAAAGCAGGAGATTCCCAAGTCACAGAATTTCACCACAGCTTTCCCAGCGCTGCCCTTCTCACACACCCTGGGCCTTTGGGGAAGGGGGACACCGAAGGGTTAAGCTACAAATTGGGCTGTGCCATTCGACTTGAAAGGATTCCAAAAATCAAATTAAACAGTCTCCATGTGAATTTATGCAGAGCCATCTTAACACTGCAACCACTCCGTGCTCCAGAATGACAAGATAAATTGTAATGGCTCCTTCCGAGACATTACAATGCATTTTGTCACAGACCCCTGTGTTAATGTCTCTATACCATGGATTATCATAATGTATCATGTCAAACCCTCATGCTGCACTACTCCAAAGATACACTGAGATATGTCAAACTTTTTGGTGCACTTAAAAGCATCTGGAGAGCTGTGGTGCGGCAGCGCCTGGCAGCGAGGCAGGAGGGTGGCAGTGGCACTGCTGCCCTGCCAGCCGGGACCCTCCTGCTGTCCCCACAACCCTGTCCCCTCCCTGTGTGTCACAGTGGCACCTGTGCTGGCACAGGAGCTGTGACATGGCAGAACTGACCCCTCACCTGGCCCTGGGCTGCCCACACAGCCCCAGCTCAGAGCTGAGTCCCCGTGGAACAGAGCGAGATCCGTCAGTCTCACTGAAACCCTGAGTTTCAAACGAGAGCAGCAGCAATGGAAAAAGAACACCAGCTCCACGAGCTGGGAGCCAGGCAGAAGCCAAGGCAGCAGCCTCCTCCCACGGGGACCCAGCTAAACCAGGAGCCTCCTGTGACAGGGACCCCTGCCAGCACCGAGCACAGACAAAAATGGCACGTTGGCAGCACCACAGCTCGGAAATGTCACATGCAGCCTCTTGGAGAGAAGTGAACCTGCACTTCCTCGATAAAACAACAAAACACAAAGTTAACTGCACTGCAAAAATGTCCCTTATTACTTTAATGTACTAGAATATTGCTTAATGAAAGTTCTTAATTGCAATACAATTAATTACATACACAGAGTCCCCAATTACATTTTCCAATAAGACATTGGCTTTGCTATAGGTCTAAAGGCACTAAACCAATTTTAATATATTAAGACCAATTTCCCTTGAATACTAATTACTATCTAATGATAAAATGAGAAAGAGGAACTTTCCAGAAGTAAGATGGCAAGAATAAAACTAAATTAGCCATGAGCGGCTTCCTACCACACATAAAGGCATTTCACATTACAAAGTGCAGCTTTCAGTTTAAAGATAAATCTTTGTGCAAGTTAAAAGTTCTGCACACTGGAAGCAGTTTATTAGCTTGAATGCTATTAGTAAATGCTGCCTGGAAAGGGGATTTCTCCATACATATTTCTTAATAATGGAAAGTTTTTGTTTAATTTAATACCCTGAAATATAAACTTTCTCTTTGCCCAAAGGAATGTGGCTGCTCTTCTCCCAGGAGATGCTTGGCATCATCCATATATATATTTATAAATTACTATGAGACTATGAAGAGCACATTTACAAGTAATAGCTGTTACAACAGTTTTTTTCTAACTGGCATATCAAAGCTAAAAGTATTTCAAATCAAGACAGAATGCCCAAAGTGAATGTTTCTGTTTGCTGATAGGATTGTCAAGCCATTATTTTATTAATAGTGCGAAACTGTCAATATTTCCATGCCAAAAGACAGCTCCTAAGCACCCCAAAATCCATTTTCTGACGGTGCAGGGGGGAGGCAGGCTCTGCAGGAGCCAGGGGCTGTGAGTGATCTCACAAACTGCGCCATGCCGGAGCCCCTCGTGCAGAGCCAGGAGCCAGCCCGAGCAGGGACAGGGCAGGGTCACCCTGCCTGGGCAGTCCCACCCCAGCAGGGCTCCGGGGCGTGCTCCTGGATGGGCACCATGGACTGCTGACCCGGGGCAGGAGTGCTCCAGCGCAGGGAATTTGGGAATTTGCACCCAGCAGCCTCAGGGATCCGTCCCACGCCTCTCAAGGGCTCGCTCGGTGTTCCCTGGCCTGGGAGGGAAGGGAGCAGTGCAGCACAAGGACTGCAGGAGGAGGGAAAAGAGTCCCCTCAACACTCTGACTGACATTTATTTTGAGCCAAGGCTCCCGAGGCTGTCCTGGAGCAGGGCAGACTGACTGCCTCCTGCTACACCCCTGACAAACTTCCAACAGATCTGCTCTTTCAGTGATGGTGCAACCTGAGCCCGGCGACTGAGGAGAGCAAAGACCTGCAGGAGACACAGCTACAGGCCACAGCCTGGATTCCTCCACAGATGATGAAAATACATTAAAAATGCAGTAGCTACAGTATTCTTTTAATTACGGAGCCTGGGTTTAAAAAAAATGTTATTTTAAATCACAAGCAAAACCCATGGAAGTATGACTAGTGAGCATCATTTCATAGATTAAAAATCAATACAAAAATAATAGGTGGGATGCAGACGTCGGGGAATTCTGGCTTGTGGAAGAGCACAACTCGATTAGGGAGGTCAGAATTGCTCCATTTCCTCAGCACAGCCCCCCTGCTCCCTCTTGCCAAGGTCTCTCTACAGCTCCTCAGAACCATTTTATGCAGAAATGAGCCAGGAGCAGGGGGAGTATTTTGGGAGCAAGTCCCACCACACAGAGAGCAGCAGCCAAGGCGGTGAGGCCAATCCCAGCCCAGCAGCACTGGGAGCTCGTGCTGGTGTCTCACTGGTGCTCACTGCTGCAGCCAGGGCTGCTTTGGGGATGCTCTGCTGCCACTCTGGGCTAAGATGCAGTTGCTGTGGCCAAAAAGCACCAATTGAAAGGTTTAACCTTTGCACAGAAGGAACAAATTCTTCCTCTACTTGAAGCAGGCTCTTACTATGGCTGTGTGCAGTGCTCTTGGCTGAGGGCGGGACTGTCACTGGCTTTACTCGTTCGTACAATCAACATTTTTACACAAAATGGAACGAAAGAACACCAAACCTGAGAGCGTGGCTGTTGTAAAGAATGAAAAATGGATCAAAATCCCATAGGGAACAAACACAAATCAATTTAAATGTCTATTTTTAAAGTTTCATATTGTTTCAGGTAAAGAAATAAATCAGGAAATAAATATTAGGATCATTAAAATAGTAATAAAATAAAAATATTTGAGCAGAGCTGGAGAGATGATTATTTGTCTGGCACTTCAAAAATCATCAAACTGCTGTAGTTATTTCTGCATGGCTAATTTCTTTAAATTGTATTAGAAAACCCCAGTGCCTCTGACAGCCACACTGACACGGCACAACACCCTGCAGACCAACCCCTCGACTCACTGAGCAACGTCTGCAGCACAGACAGGTTCATATTTCGTGTTTTTCAGGGTTGGTCATAACTTTACAGAGCAGTTTAACAGCAAAAGATTAATCATGAAGTGATAAACAGGATGCAGACTATTTACTAAAGGTATGAAATCCATCATTTCCCTCTGGAATATTGTTTTGGCACCACGGAGAAGTGCCTCGGGACAGAGAGTCTCGTCAAAATGTACTTGCCCAGACAGTACAGCTAGTGTTCCAAAATACATAACTTATGTGAGTTTAAGCAGTTTACAAGAGCAAAAGTGAAAAGGGGAAACATACTGTTCTCCCGGACAAGGCAGAATTCCAAAGTGCTCTGGCTCTCCAAGGTACAGTCTAAATCTACTGGGACATTAGGTTCACTCTGCTTCTCCAGCCGATACTGAGGACCTGAAACATAAAGTAACTTGTAAAATCATCTGTTTTCTAACACAGCGATGGCTTAGCACGTTCAACTAACACGAGGTTCCTCGCAGCCCAGGAGCACAGCAGGGTGTTGATGCCTCAGCCCGGTGCCAAGGAAGGGCCCTGTCAGCTGCTGGAGGATGGTGTGGAAGGAAACAACACATTCCTGCTGTCTCCAGCTGTCCCCTGACCTGCCAAACCCCTTCCAACACTCCCACCTTGTCCCTACGCCAGGGGAGGTGCACCAAGCCCCTGCCTGGAGTGGAAACCACCCCTCAGACCTCGCTGGACGCCCTGGGGGCATTTTTGGGGCATCTTTCCTGGGTGAAGAAGCTCCCAGTGTTTGCTCCTTGCTGCTCCCATCCCTCTTGTCTGCACAGAGCACTGGGAAGCACCTGGGAAGGAAATCAGCCCTTCCTTATGGACTGCATCACACGGAGGGACAGATGCTGCTGCTTTGAATGAATTATTAATGAATTATTTTCACATTTTGACAGTAGATCCTGAAGGTTCAGGTGCCAAATTCTTTCTTCCCAACCAAATCCCCAAAGTAAGGATAATACCACTTTAAAAGCTGTTTTACAACTACAGAAAACGTTTAAAAAATTGTTTTCACAAAAACTAGGCCATTAAACAAATCTTCTAGTTGAACGGATCCTTAAACTACATGCCTTAACTGGAACAAAAGCAGGACAGTGATCCAATCCCAGGTGAAGCCCCACGAGCCAGTTCCAGCCCTGCTGTCCTGACAGTGGCTGGGAGAGGCCCTGGCAGGGTGGGGGGAGACAAAAGTGCACCAAGTTCCAGGGGGGACCCCGAAGAAGAAAAGCCAAGGGCAGGAGCTGGTGGGGCCAAAGCCCTCCCGTCCTCGCTCCACTCCTGCTCACACCTGGGAGCTGAAGTGCACACCACGTTCTCAGCTGTGTATTTTCCACAAACAATCATTTTCCATAAATAATTTTCCACAATCCAGTAAAATAACCTGAACAGATAACTGAAAAATCTTAAGTGATTCAAAGCCTCTTTAACCAGGTCTCAAAGTAACAAAAAACCTAGAACTGAACTAACAAAATCTATTCCCTCTTCACCACTACTTAAAAGATTTCTGACTGTTTGCTGACTTTGAATTACGAGCATATATGATGAAATATTTAGAATATATAAAAAAATTAAGTCTTTCAGCCTCAGATGGCATGCCTATGGAATGGAATTTGTTAGCCAATTAATTTTAAATTTACTACAGCAGAATTCCAATTACAGCTTCTCGTTCCATCTCCCCACAGCCACGTGAGGCACGCTCCCTCCCTGGGTGGAGCCTTGTGGACTCTCCTCACTGCCAGTGCCACTCAGCAGAGGCAGTGCCAGCCTTTCTGCAGGGCACAGGAGGCTCCCCCTGCCCAGCACGGCCAGTGGTGGCACGGGGGCTGCAAAGCATCCGCAGTGCAAACCACGCAGCACAGAGAAAGGCAAACAGACCCAGCACCAACCTGCCCCTCTCCAGCTACTGGAAATGTGATTAACTATTTAAATTTAAAATAAATCAGATAAACAGAGGCCTGCTTGTTAGGCAGAAGCAAAATATACTGAATTGAAACAAATCTCAAAGCAGTAAATCAATTTGGATTTAAAATCTGGCGTGGGTTTAAGAACAGGACCAGCGACAGCAAAACTCAATGGCTTTGTCTGTTCATCCCAAGCACCTTCCAGAGATTCCCAAGCTCCACCCAAGGGAACTGCTGGCACAGACCTGAACGTCTGTGCTGTTGGTAGCCAGTCCCAAAGCCCTGCTCAGTGCAGGGTTCAGTGTAGGCAGGGTTGGTGGTCCCTCTGTGAGGATCCCATTCCAGCAGCCGATCCACCCCAAAGAACAGCACCCCTGCCAGAACCAGTCCCCACGCTGCTGAACCCTCAGGAGAGCCACCCGGGTCACCCTCAGCACACCCTGCAGTGGCTCAGGGTCACTTTTATCTGGAGCAGCTTGAGAAGTCCATGATCAGGTAAATTGTTTTACCCAGTGTTGTCAAGCCTGTATTAACTCTGCTAATGAAGCAGGGAAATAGAGCTCCAGAGCAGGAACCAGGTCAGCCTGCCTTATGGATAACTCCTTAAAACCAGAAAATACTGGGAAATTAATAAAAAAAGCAAATACTGAGAAATAAATAAAAAAGTGCAAACGGATTTTCAGAGAGTATCTGCTCTTCAATTACGCTTTAAATATCTGTCCACATTTACATGACCTCTGCTTCCCAACAGATGAAGAACGTTAGGCTGAGTCTGTGGAGGAGTTTTACTATCAGGCTTCCCTCGCAAGTTCAAATGATGTCACTGTAGTAGGAATATTGGATAATTTAATGGTCTCCTAATGGAATCCTGCTCTGTGAATTTCAACAAATTTTCAAGTGGCAATACCAAAGATGGATTTTATGGATTTCTGTAATCTCATGCAAATGTTCAATGCAGTTGTAAAATAAACCTTTAAAATCCTGGCACGGACTGTCCTGGCCAGTGTCCCAAGCCAAGCTCTCCTGCTGCTGGCGGCTCCCCAGGGCTCCTCACCCCTCCTGGGGGTGATCCTCCATCACACACAGCCCTCCCATCTGAATCCCTGTTGAGCCACTCTCACCATGGATTCTGTCCACACGTACCCTCCTGGCTATTTCAAGAGAGCCCTTTAGGGACAGGAATGTTCATCAGGAATTAAAAACAGGGAAACAGACCCCAAGACCCACGGCTTCCCTAGGAGCACACAAAGGGGCCTGGGAAGAATCCCACCCTATAATCAAATTAAGGGTCCCCCCTGCAGAAAGGAACAGCCACCCACATACCAACAAACCAATTCTGTTGCCATTTAAGCTGCAAAGCTTTCAGAAAGGGCTTTTGAAAGCACGACCCATCAGTTCTAATTTTTAAAACTTATCCTTTCAGTCAAGACTAGAAAAAGGCCCATTCCAACTTTTATCTCCACTACAAAGTGCTGTTATCTTGGGCTGTTGTCAGGAGCTCTCTCTCTCTTTCTGCTGACAAGCAGAGACTAGAGAGATAAGATTGGGAACGAATCTCACTTCTCTGAGTAAATAAATAATCAATACTCATCTAAATGTAAATGAGAAAGTATCCCCCTCTGATAACAGGGCTCTTATCAAACAGCCAATTTTCTGCAGACATTTGGCCTCAACCAAATCACCATCATTCAGCCCCAGCCTAATGGCTAAAAATCGTAACTAAATTGAACCGATCACCAGAGATCAACTAAGTTCAGCCATGGCTACTACGGGTTCAAATGTTTGGAATGCAATTTTTCCCCCATTAACTTTCAATAGCAATGAAGAATGCCACGGTCAGGGGTGAATCTGCACAATAAACAATACTAACACTGCAACAGGGAACCAGGCTTTAAACAAAACCCCAACTAAACCCCTCTCCATCTCCAAACTAGTTACTAGGGTGAAATAAGGATTATAGAAAGAATATTTAATGTTTGTGGAGTTGTCAAACCTAAACAAAAGACCAATATCAACAAAACAACCCAAACTGTTGAAAACTGAGGCCATATTTTACAGCCTTAGTCTCTGCAACAAAACATATCCCTATGCCTGTATATCCCTCTCTTCACCTTCAAGAGCTCCCAAAATCCTCACCAACACCCCAGTTCCACCTGTGCTATATCAGCTGTTTCTGTTGCCTTCACAGTCCATGCATTTGTCCAAAACACTTTTGAATTTCCCATTTCCATGACATTCCCACCCTGAATTTCTTACACTGCATGAGGAAAAGTATTCCTCTTGTTCCAATGAGCCACTGCCACCCCAGTGTTTGGGGTGAGCACCTCCTGTCTCTGAACTACCTCACAAAACCTTCCCAATTCACTGTCCCCACCACCTACACTTCACAGACAGCTCTCGTACCCACTTGTGCCTTTTCCACACCAGAAAAGCTCTTCCCTCCTCAGCATCTCCTCATTTCATGTGCCTGATCCATTTCCACACTCGTCCCTTTCTGCATCTCTTCACTTCTCTTCTTTGAGACAAAATACAGCAATTAAGATGTGGGTACATTGGGATTTATGGACTCAGTTCCTGATGTTCCATTTGCCTTTCTGCCTGCTCCTACATGGAGCTGAAGTGTTCAGAGAACTACCCGTGATGGTGCTGGATACTTTTCCTGACTGATGGAAGGTAATTAGAGCCCATCACTGTACACATATAGTTACAGTTGCTTTTCACCATGTATATTATTTTGTACCCATTGACACTGAATTCCTTCTCTCATTTTATTGTCCTGTCACTCAGCACTGTGGATACCTCTGCAGTGCTTCACAGACAGCTTTTATTTGCACTATTCTTACCTCTTTTGTATCAACAGCACATTTTGTCACATCAGCATTCACATCCTTTCCATGCCCCACATTAACGAACAATGCAGGTTCCACCAGTTCCACTGGAGCTCCACCAGTAACCTAGTTACTAATCACCAAGGGCCATTATTCCTATTCTTTGTTTCCTGTCTTTTAATCAATTATTAATCCATGTGAGGATCCTCCTTCTCATCCTGTGACAGCTTAATTGCTTTATGAGCCTTTGTCAAATCTTTTTTGGAAATCTAAGCATGCCATGGCAAGCGCACCATCCCTTTCAGATGGTCTCTGGCTCCCTCTCAGCCTGCTGGAGCACAGCCTGCCCCTTCAAAGCCTTGCCCCTGTGTGCTGCATTTGCTCACATGCCATCCATTAATGCTGCTCTTTGCTAGGGGTTCCTGTCACAGTTTCACAGTTTCCTGGTGAGAAAGCCCAGACAAACCTGTCTGTCCTTGAACCCCTTCCACCAGCCCCTGCACGTCCCACACCTGAGAGCAGCTGGTGTGAGCAACACGTGAACCGTGGTGTTACTGGTGCAGCAGCTCCAGCCCTGAGCTCCAGCACGGCTCAGACACTGCTGCCTGCCCACGGGGCTGTGTGAGCCCCCCGGGATCACAGGAGGCTCAGGGCA